GGTCTTGTTGTTGTTTATTTCTTTGGGTCTGCGTCAACATGGCACACAAGTTGTCATTTGCATGCGCCGAGATGATACTAAGCTATCACCTCTTGCCTCAACTGATCTTTTTCACCCATAAACTGGGTTCTGTCACGTCACTGCTTGGTGTTTTGTGTTGGTGTTTGCTTTTTGTGTGTGTTGGTTTTTGTTTTTGGTGTTTTGTTGTTTTGTTCTCGGTGCTTTGTTGTTTGTTTTCTGATGAACGTGACAGTACATTGGACTATGTATCGGTCCTCCACCAGTTTACTTTCGCGGCCACTACAGCATCGGCCTTTGCGTGACTTAATTAATCAATTAATCCCAAATGCAACATGCTTTGAAACATGTTGAACGACCTGGCGGAAGCCATTCGGCGTTGGACGGAAAAAAAAGGATCATTAAGTGCATCTGGGATTGGCGGGCACCATAGTTCTTCAGAAGACAATTCCACTTCATCTGCTTCCTCCTCGTCATATTCGCTCTCAGTGGTAGCTCGCTCTTCGTCTGATAAGGGATCCTCGACAGTCTCGCCAGCCCCTTCAGGTCCTATCAGAGGGCTTGCTCGCAACTGACCTTGTAAGGCAGGATCCTGCAAGAGCAGTGGTTGCAGGCGGAGCATCAAAACAATGGACACCAGGGATGAGTAATATTCGCCGGTCTTTGGTGGCCTGATGAAAATGTATTTTACTGCCCCTTAGCCGGTGGAGAGCCATTGTGAGAAGCACAAAGCCATAGAGGAGATCGGTATCCATCCCCTGCATAGCCATACAGGTACTCACGATCAATAGAACACGGGAAGAAGCTACTCGCCGTGAGACGATGGTCCCGCCTGTGAGACCAATGCTGCTGTGACCTCCTGCGTGAGGCGCAACTTCGACTTCTGCGCGAGAACCAATCGATATCTTCTCAGGGAGCGTTCCCCACACTGTTACTACCATGGCAATGGCGAGTGGTGGTTTGTTTTGTAACTTAAAGGGTGTGTTGAGTCCCCACTCTAGGACCGCCTCTGCGTCCGAGGGTACTCTCTTAGGCTCATGGTACTGGGCACATCTGTTTTTGAGGGTATAATACCTGTAATGATAGACCGCTAATGTCTGAGCCATCCCAATCATCCCAGCCATATCAATGAGAGAAACAATGTACGTGTGTTTGATCGCTCTTGTGAGCGCCACTGTGGCTCGGCCAAAACAGTCTTCCCTGTCTTCCATCGAGGCTCCTCGGCGACCCCCGCTGAGGAAACCACACCCTGTTTGAACAACCACTGCTATTCTTGCGGTTGCCGGAGCTGCCGACGAGGTTGTGGCAATTCTGAGTCCTCTAAACCAGGCTGCCTGAAAACCGTGTTGCAGGAGTTGGTTGTGTACCGCTGTGCGGTTGCACATAACCAGAAGTTGTGCTGTCGCTCCTTGGTTGAGGTCCCGATAACACTTTTGAAGATAATTGAGGAAGACTGCGACATCTTCAATGGCTGCAAGGAGGTCTTTGGGAACCTCCCCGTTTCCAAGGACTTTTTGTCCTTGCCTTTGCATTCCATGCTTACTCTCATGTAAGGACCGAGCCTCAGCGCGACATCGGCCACACTCGAGGAAAAAAAAAGGTCTTTGGGAACCTCCCACAGCACCGTTCGGAAAGTTTAATGTACTTGTTCATTGTGTTTTGCAAGGAACTTCTTTGTGTTTCTATTCCATTTTGGCTCAAGGACTTTCATTTGTGCGTATACATTTTTCGTTTTTGTCTGCTCAGCCAACAGTTTTCTTTTGGACATCTGTAGCAGGCATTGACATTGATCAGTTGCGTTTTTCCTGTCATGCAGATATTTTCAGAGTTTCATGTTTTTTTCGTTTTGGATTCACAGACACCGGGCGGTCCCGGGCGGCATGGACGGAGCGACGGTCTCGGTGTTATCACTCGAACAGTTGATTACTGCACTTCTCCTCATTGTCAACGAGTTGTGCCATCGATTTCGTATCCCCTTATCTTCAGCATCATCTGTACCATTACAAACTACACCTGATTTGGAAAATCCTTCAGGGTCACCCATCCCCGAACGTGGATCGTGTGGTGCAAAGTGTCGCTGGTGTGATTTACCCTGTGGACGTGCAAAGCCTGGTCATACGGGGCATAGTTGCTATACACATCGGCATTGGCGTGATGGATAATTCCATGGATGGTTGGTCACTGGTACAGAGTGTTGAGGGTTTATGGGACACGAGTTCAGTGATTTCACCGCCGTTGCAATCCAGGCCGAAGTCTGCTCCATTGCAGCGTGCACCTCTACATCAAGGTCCTCGCCTGGTGTCTCCCTTCCAAGTGTCTGCATTGCATCCGGTGGTCACGAGCACTATGGGGTGTTCGGGACAGTCTTCAGCTCAGCGACATCCAGGGATCTTGAGGGTTTCAGATTTAAACCAGGGGGGTAATGTTCCTCCCCCCATCCATTTCTTGTTGATTCCATTCGCATTGTACCTGGGGTTACTCCTTTGCAAATTCCCCCACAGAATTTACCTGTGATTCGGAGCTGGACGACGTTGCAACAGAGAGTTGCACTACCTCAGCCTCAAGGATGTTTGGGTTATTCAGAGTCAGTACCAGTTGATTTTGTGCCTAATCGGCCCTCTCCAACGTTACTGCATCCTCCCAGACGTCAATCAGGGGCTATTAGCAGAGTTCGTTTTTCCAGTGCTTCACCGGTGCTCTGTCAGATGTGGTTTGATTTGCTATCACAGCTGGGCCCACTGTCCAGAATTTGGCAGGAGACGAGTATGTCACAGCATCAACGTATGCATTTGAACCGAATTTTGGACAATGTGGCACCGGGCACGGCTATGAAGTATATTTCCAGTTGCAAGTCCTTTTTCAAGACCTGCAAAGCGTTACAGGTGGATTTGATATCCCTTACTGAGGTTCAATTGGCAGACATTTTAATCACAATGTCACTGTCGAGATCTACATCTCATGGCAGTAGTTCTTGCAGTTCGGTCATCAAAGCGCTTCGATGGCTGTTGAAATCAGCAGAGGTTGGATGTTTACAGGTGGTGCATTCAGTTCTTATTGGAACCTTTCTGAACCAGAAGGTGCCCAGGGATAGGAAACAAGCACCTCCTCTGCCTCTGTGGGCATTGGTGCAGTGGGAGCGTCGTGTGCTCATGTCCAACTGCACGGTATTAGAAATCATTCTACTGGGTACATTTTTATTGATGGCCTGGGGATCCCTTCGTTTTTCCGACGCGCAAAGGTTAGACCTCCAGAAGATCATCTATCACGATGGTACCATGCGAGGGGTGATATGGCGCTCCAAGACAGCAGTCAGCGGCATGCCCCTAGCAGTTGCGGCGGAGGGTTTCCTCAGCAAAGGCTCCCACAACTGGCTGTGGAAGTTCTTGACCGTCTTAGACACGGTATTGGCCAAATCAGGCCTCTCCGAGGTTGATTTTCTTCTTCCACTGATGGATGAGGATGGACCAGTTTATCCATTGCAACCGATGGATTATGCTACAGCGTTATTTTACCTACGGAAATTTTTGGGTTGCCCCTGGAGTCAACGACCAGACCCCTTGCAGCATTTGAAGTTGAACTTCACTTTGCATTCCCTCAAAGCGACGTTATTGTCGTGGGGACCACAGCTGCATGAGAAGGTTACCCCTGAACAGCGTTTGTCTCAGGGACACCATTCGGATCCCAATAGCAGTTTGGACACATACTCACGTGACGTGGTGTGGACGTCCTTGACGTATCAGCGCAAGATGATACAGGAGGTTCAGGGTGGATGGCGTCCAGCCATTGCACAGCATCGGGGTAGTCAGGCTCCCATGGTCGAACCCAAGGTTGTTTTGGAGAAATTTGTCAAATCTCTCCCACAGTTTGATTTTCAGTGGTTTCAATTCAATGCGTCCTCTGAGACACAAGCTCCAGACTTTTTGGAGTCATCGTCCAGCAGTTCTGAGAGTTCATCGGATTCATCGTCGGATGATGAGGTTATGGAGCCTCGACCCAAGACTTCCAAGGTGGACGTGGTACCTTTGGATGTCGATGAAGTCCTGGTGGGACGATATCGGTCAGTTGTTCATGCACTAGTGCGTGCCGGCGATGATGAAGATTGGCGTCCTCGGTGGCAAGGACAGCCTCTCAAACCTGCCTGTGGTAGGCAAATGCGTGGTGTGGAAGCCGAGATCTTGGATAGACTCGACTCGACTATGCCGTTCTGCCAGCATGCAGCATGCAGGAAGGTTTGGCACAATTGTCAACTCCTGCAAGGATCTGGATAGGTCCCATTCCAAGCGGTATGAAAAATTTTGCGCTTGGAGTTGTTGCCGACGGGTCGGTGACCTGTTAGGTGCAGTTGGTTTTCCCTGGTAGGGTTAACCGAGTTGTTCCATGTTGTGTACATTTTGCGTTATTTTCCCCTCTTTTTACTCGGGGAGGGGTTCAGATTCTTTTTACAATAGGGGATGGTATCCCCTAACATGTCAACGGTGTTGGCATCACAGTTCAACCGGTGGTTGAAAGGTTACTCACGGTGTGAGTTGAAATGACAGGTTGTCATGTTATATTCAACCGGTGGTTGACTATAGACTCACGGTGTGAGTACCACAATGACCGGTGGTCATTCAGTTTCTCAACCGGTGGTTGAGGGTATTAGCCCACGGTGTGAGCCTTACGTTGACCGGTGGTCAATTCAACATTTTTTCAACCGGTGGTTGAAGCTGCACTCACGGTGTGAGTGACGTGACATATCGTCATGGTTGCCGTCGGTGATGGCTCTAGTGAACCCGGTGGGTCAACAATCAGTTGTGCAACAACATGCACTTGTTTTAGGGGTTCCACTATGGAGTATCCACCCCTTTAATGGTTGGTCAAGCTTCAACTGGCGCTGTCAGGGTTTTATTTTGCAAGTTTTTGCTTTTCCCCTCAACATAAGGGATACTGTTTGTGGCTTGTTGATCCTACGCGATTTTCTCCTTTGTTTACGTGGTGGTGCCATGGCGTCTGACAATTTGGAAGATGTTTTGATACAGAGTGGGGTGGACTCGGCCCTCACGAGCTCACTCATGATGGAGGGGTGGTCCTGTCAATCGTTTCGCATGGCAGCAGCTGACATTCAGGGTTTTGAAGATGTTCTCCAGGAACGGTCGTCTTCTACTCCTTTGTCGGTATTCCAAAAGGCGTGCCTCCGAACGGCGTTTCAGTCCCTCCAACCTCAACACGGACCTAGTGCATCGGCTTTGTCCACCCCAACATTGAGCACTACCACGCCAGCCGGGTCTTGGGCAGAAGCCTTTCCTCCCAAATTGGAGAATGCCGTGTTGCAGGCGATGAAACAAAAATTCATGGCCAACTATCCATCAGAGTTGATCCATGCAGACCTTTTTCCGTCGACCAGATTAGTGAGCCTGGTTCATGACCAGCTCTCCAAGAAGGTTTGGAAATGGGTGCCATGGAAGTATCGCATCTCGCTCACCAGGTCAGAGGAGATCTCTAGCAATCGAGCTCAGAAGATGCCAAAAATTGACCACTTGGGGTTACACTCCTTATTATTTGATGATCCTCCCTCAATCGACGTGTCCAACAACGCCATGGGGGTGAACTCGATTCGCAATATGCTCGAGGTTCATGATCGGGCCATTGCCTTGTGCCAAGGAGCTCACCTCGCCAATCTCAAGGCTTATACCCACAAATTCATCGGGTTTTTGACCGCCAAGTACGATGGAGATTTACGTAACCCCAGTGTATTGGAGGCTCAACATGCGGACCAAAAAATTTGGACAGTCATTGCCGAGCTCATGGAACGAGGATGGAACATGGATGATTGCTTGCATGAAATGACGAATTTACGTCATGACCTACCAAGTCTCCTTCAGCCACGACCTCGCGTGTTCAAGCCACTCCCATCACCATCTTCTCAGACAGCTTCCCCTCGTGGTGATGGACCGAAAGGCAAAGGCCAAGGGAAGTCAAAGGGCAAGCAGAATTCCGGGAAATCCAAGGGCAAAGTCCAATGGCTCACGGAGATTCAACGGGATGGTGGCTTCAAGCAACTCTGCATGCGATATCAGGTGGGCAAGTGTCAGAATCCCAACTGTGGCTTTCAGCATTTGTGTGCGTACCCAGTTGATGGAAAAGCCTGTGGCAAAAATCATGGGGCGATGTCCCATTTTGCCACCCCGCACTGACTCCCCGAAGGGGATCGTGACCCAGGTTTCACCATGCATGATCCATTCAATGAGGTTGACTCCGTGGAGACCCTCCCAGTGCATGACGTGGACCCAGTTCAAGACTTCGCTCCACCTCGTGATAGTTTTACCCAGGGCCGTTTGCCCCAACCAGAGCAGGCGAATGCGGAAACAGATATCACTACCACCGTCCATGTCACAGCGGAATCCTTGGTTTCCTCTACGTCAATTCCACCCACCATTTCAACTTCAGTTTTAAAAGCAGTTCCCTCAGGCAAATTTTTTCTCGATGTATGTTCAGGTGTTACACGTCCGTTATCGACAGCAGTATTGGAGCATGGCCACTCAGTTCTTTCTTTTGATGTTTTATTGGATTCTTCTATGGATATTTTATCAGATGCGGCCTATGAGGATCTATTGCGTGTCGCATCCAGTGGGAAAGTTGGTTATGGAGCGGCCAGCCCTTCCTGCTGTGAATACAGCAGACTCAAACTTCGAGATGATGACGGTCCCAAAGCTCTACGATCACCGGAGCACTTGTCCGGTCTGCCCAATCTTACACCCTGGGAACTGCAACGTGTCCAAGAGAGCTTTATGATGCTCTCTCGCTGCGTTGAGGTTCTCACCCTGGTTTTTCAAGCAGGCGGGCATGTCCACCTTGAACAACCCTTGAACGCCATGTCATGGTTAGAGAAGGTAGTCCGCCAATTTCTGCAATTGATTGGGGCTTCCTGTATCAACGTGGCAGCTTGCGCCTACGAGATGGATGTTTACAAAGCCTGGATGTTTGCCTCGAGTTTTACAGGTCTTCGACCATTAGGCTGCATTTGTCAACATCCCCCTAATTCTCATGTTCGTCTTCAAGGTCTCCGAGACGATTCTGGTGCTTTTGCTAGTCGGGCGACGGCACAATACCCACAGAAACTGGCACAATTATTTGCCAACCTTGTGGCCCCATTACTGGACACATCAGCGTTGGACCTACAATGGTCATCTTTGGATGCCCTCATGCCCACCAAGCACCTGTCAGAGTATCCATTTGCGCAAATCGATGGGGGTGGAGCTTTTTCCCACCCGGACTGGAGTCAGGATAATCGTCAAGAACACGACTGGTTCAAGATGCTCCGCACTTCGTGGATGAACAGGATCATCTCTGAACGATTGGATAAGATCCTACTTGCGCATGTGGCGTCGGGCAACCCTTCACCACCTTTTTCGATGGAAACTCTGACTCCATTCAAGGATGATCTGGAGAAATTCTTGGAGGCACATGGACATACACCAGATTGGTCAGTTCGACAACATCAACCAATACATCTTCATATTTTACATTCTTTACAAAAGATTATGCATGACGTCGATTTTACATTATTACCCAGTTTATTAGAAGGTGTTCGAACTGGTTTTTCCGAGGCAATTCCTCCGTCGGGTATTTTTCCACCCAAAGAACGTACGGATATAGAACCCGATCCTTTGTCAGCTCACCTCTCCAACTGGCAGAGTGCTGAAGAAGATCTACCATTAACCCGAGAACTGGTTCAGGAAGAAATTGACAAGGGATGGGTTTTTTCATATAAAGGTTCTTTGGAAGAAGCACAACAAGAATATCCGGCCGGAGTTGCTATTGGAAAATTGGGAGTGGCTCGCTCGGATAGTCGAGCCCCCCGATTAGTTGTAGACTCCAGCGTGTGCGGCCTCAACGGTCGGTGTATCATACCGGAGAGGTCCACCCTCCCGACTGCCAAGGAGGTGTTACGTAGCTACCCTCTACGTCAGTGTCAGAGGAATCTAATGGGCTTTTCTTTAGACGTTAAGGCTGCTCATAAAAGAATAGTTCTACATCCGGACGAATGCGGATTGGTGGGCTTTTCGTTAGAAGGACAGCTCTTCTTCTATAGAGTTACCCCATTTGGTGCAGTTTTCTCTGCCTTTTGGTGGGCGAGATTGGGTGGACTCCTTCTCCGTATATTTCACCATTTGATCTGGTTGAGTCACGCTGGATTTCTATATGTGGATGACTTCTTATTCTTTATGGAAGCCAACATGATGCCGCTGTCAGCCACATTGTTGTGTATTTTCTGCCAGCTTTTGGAAATTCCTATCAGCTGGAAGAAGACGGCCATGCACTCTTCCATTGACTATATTGGCTGGAAATTCAATTTCAATGCAGGTATCGTGACAATCCCCATTGAAAAGATCCTCAAACTCCGAGGATACATCGAACATCTTATTTCCCAGCCACGAACTACTCGCAAGTCTTTGGAGAAACTTATTGGCCTGGCAATGTGGATTACTCAATTATTTCCCCTCATGCGGATCTGGATCCACTATTGGTACCACGACCTCTACACCATCCCGGCGACACATTTCAGTATTGATGCTGGTACATGGCCTCGCATTCATCAATATTTAACACCTAATTTGACTTTTCATACAGCACCTTTGGGCTCCGCTATACCTATTTCAGGCAAGCTCATTGCAGTTCGACATCAAACGGTCTCCTCATTGGCGGATCTGACATCGTTACATATCAAAACAGATAACAGGATTTGGCTACGGATTATCAATCCGAATTCTTCCAAACGCAAGCTTCGTCCTGATTCTCTTCGCATTTTGAAGTTATTTGAACATTGGCTGATGGGTGTCTCTCCATCTCGACCAATGAGAGCGAAGCCATATTGGAATGGCATTGCGGCAGCCGATGCATGTGCATCGGGTTCCTATTGCCAAATTGGAGGTTTCATCCGTCATCATTCAGGAGTCCAATTTTGGTTTTCTGAAAAATTTTCCCATGCTGATTTTGACATTTTGTCAATTCATTTGGACCCAAATATGCAACGAAGCATTGCTTCTTTTGAAACTTTAGCCCAAATCGCTTTAGTTTGGCTGGTGGCCACATCTTTTCCTGGTTTTCGTATTCCTATTTGTGTGAAATCCCTGAGCGACAATACGGGAGCAGAGAGCGTGAGCAACAAATTATTCACTACGACTCATCCTCTATGTCTCTTATTCGAGATCCTCACGTGCCTGGCTTCGACAACGGGTATTGAATTGGATGTGAGCCATATTCCTGGCGCGGACAATGTCATAGCGGATGATCTGAGCAGATGGGACTTTTCCACTCCCATCCCACATGATTTTCAACCAAGTGAAAGGATTCATCTTTCACTCAATCAACTATTTCGTTGTTCACCTCACCCAACATTGCATCCTCCTGATTCGAAACTCCTTTGGAAACTCCCACATCCTCTTGCGATGTGATCTGCTGGAATGGTTCTCACTTCTGGTTTGGGCGTGTTTGGGCGATAACCATTATACCAGATAGTTGTTATTTGGGTTGTTGATGCCATCTGGTCAAATGGTTTCGGTTGAAGTGTGGTCGAATCCAAACTGGATCCAACAGTGGGGCAAACCATCCAGCAGATGAAAAGGGAGTGCGTTCTGAGATCAGAAGCGAGACATGGTCAAGCGGGAGGATTGAAGCTTCAGTTGTTTTTTGTGTTTTGTTTGTTTGCGTTTCATTTGCGGTTTCTAGATCTTGTCTCAAACAAATGAAAGTCCTTGAAGAACGTTTAATGTACTTGTTCATTGTGTTTTGCAAGGAACTTCTTTGTGTTTCTATTCCATTTTGGCTCAAGGACTTTCATTTGTGCGTATACATTTTTCGTTTCCCTCCCTCCCTCACCTTGTTCTCAATTCTTTTCCAATGTTGTATCAATCGTTTGATCTCGCAGTTTCACCCTATTTCTCTATTGGTGATCCGAATTCTGTTTCATCTGTGAAGCCTTTGTGCTCATGGTACTTTACAGTGCGTTGCACTTCAAAGACGAGTGACGTGATGTCACGTTCAGTATTGTAACTGCATCTACGACCATGCACAATGGTGCATCGGTGATGTCATCTCACCCGAATGGGTTGTTGATGCCATCTGGTCAAATGGTTTCGGTTGAAGTGTGGTCGAATCCAAACTGGATCCAACAGTGGGACAAACCATCCAGCAGATGAAAAGGGAGTGCGTTCTGAGATCAGAAGCGAGACATGGTCAAGCGGGAGGATTGAAGCTTCAGTTGTTTTTGTGTTTTGTTTGTTTGCGTTTCATTTGCGGTTTCTAGATCTTGTCTCAAACAAATGAAAGTCCTTGAAGAACCCTCCGTGTTCGGCAGTGTGGTCATGAGGTACACAGTGGCCTATTTGGATGGGGTCCTGGTCATGCAGCACAAGTTCTACGATGGCTTTGTACGTCACCAGAGACACCCTTGAACTGTTGGGCAGTATGATGCCCCATCTGTGTGGGCCGTCCAAGCCGGCTGCTTCCACCGTACACTCAGGGATTCCAAACTCTTCTGGTGCAGCAGCGATGAGCAGGACCGCTAAAATTGCAGAAATCAAGCAACTGGTGACATTGAGGTGGCGGAGCGTTTCATCGCTGAATAGGCGTGCCAGTGAGGTTGGCAGGTGTGGTATGGTGGTAGCTGCAGTCCATACTCCGGTATGTGGTGCTTGTCCAACTTTGAGCAGACACGCAACATCAGAGTCATTGTCCTGGCTCGCGTCCGGCCAGAGAAGGTATGAAAGTACACCGGTTTGTGCCAAGCCATCGTACTGGATGCGTCGAGATGGTAGTGAATTCATCCACGAATTCACTTGGAAATGGACGGCCCTCATTGAATAGATTTGTTTTGGACAAGTGTCATCTACGGATGAACTATGATATGTGGTTTTCAACGTTTTCTGGGAGCTTGCATTCTGCATGAGGTTTTCGCCGAGTATCAACAACGGTTGAGGATGTTTTTGTGCAAAACAACGTTTGCTGAAAACTGGTTTTTGGAGAGTTGCGAAATTTGATGTGGAGATGATGAAGATGGTTTTGCCATTTGCATGGCAATTTGGAATGTCGTTTATTGTCTTCGCATGTGCATGCTCGACAACAAACTCCAAACCTTTTTCAACCTGGTTTTATTTCAACAACTTTGTGGACGAGAACTTTGTGGAGATGGTTTTGCGTTTTTCACTGCATGCTGCATGTGAGCAACTGGAAACTTTGTTTTTGAGTGGTGCATGATGTTTTCCAACAACGTTTGCACGGCCGGCTTTTTCATTTGAGACTGGGATGATTTTTCTGCTGAAATCTGACGCTCCAGCACGGTGCATGTCAACAACAAAAATAAAAGAGACAGCGACACGGCACAGTGGCTAGAACAGAGCCAAGGACACTTTTACTTGTCTTTTCGTGTGTTGCGAGAAAAAGGTGAGATTGAGCGAGGTCAAGTCACTTAATTTGAGTTTGGTTTGCTTGCGTGTTTTTGCAAGCTTTATCGGCATCGCCGGTGCTGCACGGACCCCAAGCGTAGGTCGACGCGCGCACGCGGCTAGTGGTTGTAAGCCTGAATTTTCGCATGGTAGCGGAGCTTCGGCTCACGCGTAGGACGCGAGTAAGATGATCCAGGGAGGAGGTAATTCAGGAGCTGAGATGCAACCACCAGGATTAGGAATGCCGATGCGACCAGGTTCGCCGACTAGGCTAGAAGCAGGTCAAGCGAATGGTGTTGAAGCGACTTCGCCAACGGGTAATGTAAATGCAGGTGCCCCAGGTCAGGCAGGAGTAGGAATTCTAGGCACGACAGCTGGGAACTTAGTTGGTGCCGGGACCTTAGTTGCTGGTCCGTCAATGCTGCCGATGACAGGGGGGTATGGTCCTGAAAGGAGACAAGGAGGTCTCATGGATCCAAGAAACTACGGAATGTATGGCCAAAGTAGCCCCAGGAATGTGAGTTTAAATGGACAAAGTTTCCAAGGTTTGACAGGTTGCACAGGTTGTGGGTTTCAACAAGGTGCATGTCAAGGTTTTAGTGGATGCACGGGCTGTGGAGTTCAGCAGGGTGCATGCCAAGGTTTTCAACAAGGATGTCAAGGATTTCAAGGTTGCACAGGCTGTGGAGTTCAGCAAAGTGCATGTTTAGGAAGGTTATTTCTGCTTGCAGACAATACTTTCTCTCTGGCGTACTAAACAGGGCTATTGTATAGCCCGGTCTGTTCTCCCATCCTTTCTCCTGCACTAGCGCTTTCTCTGCCGACGCGTCCCTCTCCCTCGCGCGCATGCGTAACCCGTGGAATCCGATCCACTTGCAGTGACCCAAATGCCCCTCAACAACAAATCTCTAAACACAATCGTTTTGTTTAAATGCCACAAACCTTTTTGAGTGAAACAAATACTTGTATTTTGGATGTTTCTTGGTTTTCCCTGAAACCGACCAGAAAACCAGAAACTTTGTCATGTCGAATCTTTCAGACATCAATTCAATCTTCACTGTTTAATATCTTGAGGATCTACATCTCGGGTAGCAACCCTGGTTCAAGGGATAGGTGGGCGGGTTTTCCATTGAAATTTTGGAAAGCACAAAAATCGTCGAATCGGGGGGTTTATGCCATGTTGGACCAGTGGTGATCCTTCAACCAAGGGTAGGGCCCTGATCGCTGCAATCAAAGCCGAGAGACTGCACAGAACTTGTGATGCGTATTTTGCAT